ACATGAGCACATTTTCTGGGATCATCGTTGAGCAGCATTGAGGGCGATAAAAAGCTCGAACATTGGGACCGGGGCAGGTCTGGAGTGCAAGGCCCTCCTGGGGTCGTTCTTCCGCATTCCGGTGGCCCTGCTGCTTTAAGCAGTATACCGTATACCTGTTCACAATCCAGAACCATCTGGCTATGGCTCCAAGAAGTTCCTTCTCAACTCATTGGATGTAACAAATCATAACAAATCTTGATTTATCTTCATTGATGTTTACTAATTCCCTGTGAGTGCATTTCGTTGTTCCGGCCTTTCGCCAGTTCCATCGAACTTTCTGGATCGCCCCGCCTCGGAGCTTCAGCAGCCCGGTCGTCGCGCGCGGTGCGTCGGTGCCGTCGAAAAGGGGTGCTCGGACAGCGCGGTCGTCGCGCACAACCGGAGTTCCCCTGGGATAGGTCGAACAGCTGCACTCAACGAAGGTCAAAAGATGTCAAAAGCTTGGATGGTTTAACATGGTTTAACTATGTTCAAGGGCAACACATGCATTGGAGAAGTTGGAGGCTGCATGAGACTGTTGCCTTGACTTGATGTAACAGGGTGCAAAATGGGAGATGCTTTTACCAGCACTACTGGGTGCTTTTGTGTAACAGGGCACTTCCACTTATGGTTGTTGATGAACATGCATGCAAAGCAAACATTCACCTTTTGGAAGACCTTCACCCACTGACACGGCCTGTATCATCAAACACGTCGCATCAAACACGAAGCACATGTGACCCACTATGTGACCCTCATAGAAACCCAGAAAAACACGGGACCACTCCATCATGCTCCATCAATGGCCACATATCAACCCTAAGATATGCAAACTCAATAAGGCCCCAGCTGAGTTAAAGCAGATGCACCGTGACACAACACCATTCCAGTCAGTCCAACCAAAAAAATGGAAGAACAGCCATCACCGACCTACCTCAACTTGGCATAAAACTGGGCTCCAACGCTCACGTTTCAAGATTATCATTCATAGAAATACTTCCTCTGCACCGCGCTAGGCCGCCATAAGCCACACTGCCTGCATGCTGCGGCCTGATACAGTACATGCCATGCTTGGCATGGCTGCCAAACCCTTGCAGGTTCTTGCGTTCGGCCAAGCTGGATTGGTCAAGTGAACAGACTGGAGGCCCTATATTCCTGCAGTTTCAGAGTAGACGGCCAAGTCCCCAAAAGGTTGTCTATGGACCCTCATATGAAATTCATGTGTGGGTTTTCTGCCATCTACCCTTATACGACAGTAACCCCGGTGGAGGCCGACCTGAAGTTCAATTCATTCATCTGCGTCCTCGAATCGGACGGAGTTATGTATCTTCGAGGACGTGTTCAAAGGCAAAACCAAAGGGGTACCCAAACAATCCGGTATTCACACTGCCTTCTGCGAACCCAAACCCCTTCTACGAACTTCTGCGAAGGCAAAAGGGTTAGCACGAACCCTCGGGCAATAACAAGAAGTGTTCCACGAACCCCCCCAAATCATCTACGAACCCCGCAGGGTTAGCACGAACCCAAAGAACTCCACGAAGCTCTGCGAACGGCAATCCATATACTTCTACTTAGTGCATACCCCGTTCTTTTTGCCCTGAGTGTTCCGACCGAGAAAAACCCGGCCCAGAAAGCCGTTGGAGAAGTCGAGGCTTCTGCTCAACGCAACAGGAAGAAGCCAAACCAGCTGAAAACATCTTAGGGAATATATTACTGCCGTACGCTATATACACTTTGACACTTTGATATATAATATACATATAATAGGCTTATATCGAACATTTGGACTAGATTGGACTAGTGTACACAGTGTACCTACTGATCCTAGGTGTATACAGAACCACGTTCAGTCGCCTGACACCAAGTTCTTACGACCTCATTGTCATGGACGCAGAAGTATCACCACCATGCAAAATCAAAGGAATCGCGGCATCACCATGGCTCTTTTCTTGCCCAAAAAGGAGTGTCCGACAACTGGCCTAATGCGGTTTGTCTTATGCAATGTTATATCAAATGCGTCTGTTGAGACATACATGTATACCATAGGTACAAAACAAAGCAAATATAGATCTATCTTATACAATCTTTTGTCGTGTACCCAAATGTTGGCAGGTATCGCACTGGCTCCGAAAATCGCTGGTGGATTCACGATTTCGATATCATCCAGTGGCCGCTTGGTCACCCCCATCGCCTGGCCAGCCGCTCAGTTGAAGGGGCCCAAGCGGCTCAAGAGCCGCTTCTCAGTCAGATCAAGAAGTTGGCCTCATGGAAGGTGGAACATGGGAAGGTGGACTCTGTTTGGTGCGTGAGGTGATCATGATCAGCCACTTTGCAACCGCTCACCAAAATCATAAGGATCGTTTTTTGATTGTTTTTTGTTTGGAGTCAAAAACGTCAAAAAACGTCACATGCGATATCCCCTGTAAAATTCACACGACAACTTCGGGGGGCTTTTGTACCTACAAATGCGGCAGATCTTGTAGAGGAAATTTCACAGGTGATCATGTTCGTGCGCCAAACAGGAACATCATCACATTCCCGAGGGATCCAAACACCTTCTCAGAAGGTGATTGGAGACACTGTTATGTAGGTGTGGAGGGTCCAATTACCTTCTGAGAAGGTACTTGGATCCCTAGGGATTTACAGTTTGGCACGATCTTTCTCGGCTTCGTCGTGTGCGTTGATTGTGTTCGGATCGACGGCTCGCCACTCTGGACGTGAACAGTTCGGATCAAGGACCTCACCGATGGACCGAGCGGTTTGTGTGGGGGGGCACCGTCTGGTCCCATGGTACAACCCAAAGAAGTCAGGAGAAGGAACACATAGTTCGAATTTGTTCGACATCTCTGTCGACATCTCTGGGCCACTGGGAGGTCCAACGGTGTCCTACAACGGGGCGAATTTCTTGACCTGGATGCCACAGCTACAGCTCTGGTAGACTTCATCGCTGGTTTGGGTTCTTTGGTTGGTCACCGTGACCTTCCACGAAAAGTCACTGTGACATTTCAACCTTGTCAATGTCGGGATTCACCTCATCACTGAGGCTCTCGCTGCTTCTGCCTCGCGTCCTGGAGACGGATCGGCGATCCACGGGACGAGCGGAGCTGCAATCTGTGGGCGACACAAGCCGAACGAGCCTACAAAAGGAATATTGGTTGAGAGGCCGGCGGCCATCGCTATATAGTAGGTTGAAAGCCATCGCTAGTGGGTTGAGAGGCGGTTGAGAGGATGAGTGGAAGCTGCTGTCCACATGCCGGTGTTTGTTTGACAAATTGACGGACGACATGTTCGGCGCCTCAGCACACCTCCAAACTCACTTCTCCAAACCCCTGGTGGGGCCCTAACCTCACCTGACAAAACTTAAAACACAAAAGCAGGTACAAGTTGGTTACAGCCGAAAGATGTATCCAAATGTGGTACGAACCGTCACATGAACTCTATCAAGTGTTACATGCACTATCTCTTTCCTCCCCACCACGCGCTCTGGAGCTCAATCTGCCCGTTGGCGTCCGTTCAGAAACTCGCTCACCCGTCCTATTTCTGAGACCGGCTCCCATCCTCGTGGCAACGTCCTGCGGGTCTGAGGGTTCTGTTTGGGCCATCTGCAGTGAAGCACTGTCCACAAATTTATCCGAATGGGCGCGTGTATTATGCGTTTGTTGATGTATTTTGTCTCAGTGCATCGTCATGTGCATTTCAAAGTGCAGGCATGTGCAGCTTTACAAAGTGGAGCAACTTGGGGACTGGCAAACTGGTGCACACACATCTCTTTCTGAAGTCACCTTCAGCCCATGACTGAAATGACTTTCGCAAGCAATCATTTGTAGAGAGCTTGTGCAGAAACAGTTGAGTTTTGATTCGAGGAAACAGCCTAGTTTGGTGGATGCAGCTAGTATTTATGCACATATTGCTTACATGAGCCTCCGCCCAGCTCATCATTGCCGTCCATGTATGTCCATGGGGCATCTCTTCACTACTCAAAAAAATCTATCGCCGCGACCGCGGCACCCAAAGTAACCGCCCATACCTTTGAAAGCAACTTTTGGAGCACCCATCCTTCTCATGGTCAACCAATGTGGAATCTTGATTATATACACATCCGGGCAATCCATCACCATCTTTCCACTTCCGATGCTGCCGGAGATCGCGCCTCCGCTGGTTGGGGATGCCCCAGCCCTTTGGAGGCCGCTCCGCAAAAGTCCTGGATAGCATGTAAAACCTCGGGCCTATTGGCCTAATGTAGACTCTTCTTGATTAATACACTCCTTCATTTGAACTGAAAAATCCTTTTCATATTGGGGGGTTATTAGTCAAGTGTCTACATGATATGTCCCAAAAGGCTCAAACGTGCATGTCACCATCATGCTACCACTCATGTTACCTCATTCATCCTAATTCATCCTCATCTTCCAGTGTGGCTCCCAGATGTTCATAACCCATAACTCTAAGGCTCCAACCACACGTCTCAGCAAGACCCTTCAGAGATACAATTCGTTGGAGTCAGCGAATAAGGCGTCCATGTCGTGTCTTTCTTGGGGGCCAATTGTTGCTGCGACATGGGCCGAAGCAGGGGTCAATGGTTGAACTGGTCAACTGCTTCCTTCTGCTTCATGAAACTCATTGCTGAGGAAGGATGCAATGTAAGTTTTCGGACAATGGATTCAGCTGTGCTCAGAATGTACGCACAAAGCAGCATCAAAAGCATCACAAAGAAACATGTGCAAGCAATAGGCCCATAATAGGGCTATGATGAGCTAGGTTTTGCAGGAATCTCTGCGGACTTGAATGGATTTAGCAATCTTCAATCCTTCCATTACCGCCCAGTCCCAGCCAACGTCCAAGCCAGCTCTCTGTCCTTGAGCCAATTGGGAGCAAACCTCAAGGCAGCCATTCTCTCAGATTGGGTCCGATGGCGGGTTGACCAAACTCACATCCGGCATCTCCCCACACCACAGAGCCTCGGCTCAACGCCACCTTTTCCACACCACCGCATTCTTCCCAGGCTACTCTGAGGCGCCTCTTCACGTCACAGAAACTGGATCCGAACAGTCACCTGATGATCCTGATGATGCATGAGGCCTTGCTTCGTAGATCAGAAACCCTTGCAAACTGCAACCTCACAGTCTAATCCTCGCTTCCAGCTTCCTGGCTCACCACTGACAGGGCCCAGACGATCCAGGAACACTCCAAGCACCATGACCATCCATGACCTATCTCCACACCAGCAAAGCATGATCTGCCGGTGCTGGTGTCTCCAAACCAACCGGATCTCCTCCAGCGGTGACCTAACGGATCACATCGGCCAGCACGAGCCCCACAAAGCCCAGCAAGCCAGTGGCGGTGGTCACCAGGAGGAGGCCGGGAATGCGAAGTGCCCACAGGCGATCATACGGGAAGAGAGTGGCTCGAAGACCTGGGGCATCCTCAAGGTTTTTGGCGTGGAGCCAAGTGGAGAGAAAACACCGGGTCAGTGAAGGAATCATCTGTTTCAGCTGGAAAAGGTGTTTGACTCTTTTGATTTTTTTCCGGGAGGGGGGTGGGAATGTTTATTCACCGAGGTCAAAGACTAAAGAACATGCCATGTTGAGGTCTGCCATGGTCTGCCTGTCCATGCCAGTCCTCGGGTGACCAGAATGGCAAGAGGAAGATCCAGGCGGTGTAGTAGAAGAAGCCAAGACCTGTCGCTACTAGAAGGAAGGCCGCAAACACCTGGGACGAGAGGCTGCCAAGCCAATTGTTCCAAGCTGACATCTTCCCAAACGTGCACCCGTTCCCCAAGTCCTGCACAGTGTTTTTGATGCGTTTGATGGACCACTTCTGACTTGGTGCGCCCCATGTCCTGAGTCCTAATCCCTCAACTACAGATCTCTGTTCCACCTCCCCACTGGCACCTGGCTCATGCTGGGCCATCCAAGACAGCCGACCGAAGAGCCCCAACTGGGTCAAGTATAAGCCGAGTATAAGCCAATCCAGGGCCGCGCGGTGTCGTTGCGGTGTCCGCCACTGGGTCTCTAAGAAACATCATGTTGACGTGATTTGTGATGCATAAACACAAACCATATGAGGATAGATGTTTGATTATGTTTGACCATCCGGCTATGCTAATTCCTTTTATTCATCACCAGTCTACCTTGGCAGCCAGGTGTCATCATGACTTCCCTTTTCGACACACGTTTCGAGTAGTACTGCAAATTGGAAGATGTTGTATGCCCCCCTTCCTATCTGAGCATCGCACCAGCATCCGAGGCTTGACAGGCCTTGCTGTGCACCAGAGAGGCAGGGGTGGGCACCGTCCGAGTGACCAGAGTCTGCAAAAGAGAGTTGAGCTCCTTAAGCATCTGGATGATTCGATCTCCCGTGTGCGTCTGAACGATTCTGAAGCACCAGTCGAGTCGAGTTCCCCACCGAGTAGAAAGTCGAAGCAATATGAACAATTCAAAAGGAGCAGCGACATGCAGCGACCGTGTACAATACTACAAACATTATCCAAACATTCGTTACAAAAGGAAGTAGGAGGAACATACTCCCCTCAAGAACCTGTTTCCTCTTTGGGCGCCTCTTGTCCTCTTGTCTGCACCGTCATTCAGTTCTTGAGGAATTACAATTATATATTATATAAATACTACATTGTATCACTGTGTTATGCTGTATTTATATATGCGGCTTAACTCGATTCAAACGTCCTCATCCAACAGCAGTGATGTAGCTGTCCTTCGTCTGCCTTCCTGCAAACCCACGCTTCCGTCTCCACAGCTGACCCCAGCAATAAGGTCACGACCACACTGGAACCAAAAGCCTCAGTGCGGCCACAGGTCGTCACACGAGTGAGGGTGGATTGGAATGGTTGAGGTCCGTTTTAACAAGGACCAGTCAAACAGGGAAGCGTGATGCATCTGGAAAATTCCTTGCGCATCACCGGCGCAAATGTGCCGAGAGTGCTCAAACCACTAGTTGTTTGCCCTTAGGGCCAGGGGTGAAGAAACAAAGGAATCCCCTACTTGGGACCCCTCCAAACAGCCAAACACAGGGGGCGTGAACGTGGCTGATTATCTGCGTTCTCGGAACAACACCCCTGCGCAAGTATGGAACGGACAGCCCATGACAGCCTTTTGACCAATGAAACCCTTATCTAGTTTGGTTCAGCATCCAACAGCTTTGAGGGTTGTGATGACGACAATGATGATGGTATGGTGATTGTGGTGGTCGTGGTGATCATGGTGGTCACGGTGGTGATTGGTGATGATGCATATCCATGCACTTATCCATGCAATGCATATCTGCATATCCCTACAAAACACATCAAAACACGAAGTGGTACTGGTGATTTCTGGCACTACCCACTCGTCACTCTCGTCTTTGTTTTCCGCGACCAAGGGACAGCGCTTCGGCTGCCTGGCAGAGTGCGGCGAGCAACGAGGTCTTTAGCTCGATGATAAATTGCTCCGAGTAGTAAGGCCAGGAGCCACTAGTAGCGTCCAGCGATGCCCTTTGTTATTAGTAGCGAACATTGATCCATGTATATAGATCCATCTGGTCCTCTGGTTCAAAACAAAAACACCTTTTGGATTTGTAAGAGCTCTTCCTTGTGCGGGTGCTTTTTTGGGGGGGATCAATCTACAAAGTATCTTGGAACAGCATGAAAAAGCTGATGGAACAACGCGAACAACGCAAAGCCGGTGGCTTCCCAAAAACGGTCCCAGGTCTCATGGCATGAGGCTGCAGGTTCACACCGCACGATGGTGTCAGCTCCCCCCAAGAGTACGCCTCCCTGAAAAACCTTCGCCGCAAGTGGCTGCTGTTTTGAAAATCCCCAAGCCGCTCATGAATGTTCGAACATGTGGTTGGTTTTCAAAATGTCTTTCCCCAACATGGTGCACTCGTCGCAATTCCATGGGGGCCCGCTTCTAAATCTCCTTTAAACTTCAACCACACTCAAACCACAGGGATGTTAAACATGAAGGCGTGTGAACTGCAAAAACTGTGAGAGGTGTCTAGCACGGACTGCTGAGATGCTGGAGCTGTTGCTGCTGCTGCTGCTGGTCTCCTGCAGTTGTTTCCACTTTTTGTTCTCAGAAACATTCAGAACGACACAAGTAGGAAGGACGCAAGAGCTGACTCAAAAGATTTGGATGTTGGATGGGCAAGTGGTCAAAATATGGACCGTCGTCTAGCGCGGTGCTAGCGCGGATCTAGCGCCAGCCTAGCGCAAAAATCTGCGTCGATGTCTTTATCCTGTCAGATTCTTATTTTTCCTGCTTGCTTGTCTTCTTCTTGTTGTGCATTCTTCTTCTTCTTCTTCTTGGCGTTTCTTTTTCTTGTCTTGCTTCTTCTGTTTCCTGCTCTCTGCTTGTTTCTTCTTTTTCCTGCTTGCTATCCTGTTATGAAGAAACCTAGCGCCAACCTAGCGCTGCCTTGCTGTATCACCATATTCTGCTGGGGGCCCGCTTCTAAACGAAAACTTAAAAACACATCTACAGCCTTAAAAGTTTACGTTTATCACCGTTTATCTATATTTTTTGAGTAGGGCTTTTTGAGCGCAGTCCATGTGTTATTTTCGAACCATTAATTCCAGACCTCCCTGACTTTTTCCACCCCCTTCGCGCCGCGAGCGCTTTCGCACGCGCTTTCGGCTGGGGCATCCGCCTCGGTCGCTGCGTCGGTCGCTGGGCGTCTCGGAGCTGCGGAAGCTGTTCCAGCTCGGAGACCTCAGACGCGGCCGCGCCGGGCCGTCTTCGATCCCGGAGTGACAAGCTGTGCAGTGCTGGTTTTTTATGAAAAAAAACGGTTCAAAGGTCGACTGGGAACAGGTGATGATACTGAAAACCACGGTGTTGTTTAATTGTTTAAATATATATACTGTATATATATATATATGCAGTAAATAGGTTGGATGTGATTCAGTTGTTCCATGTTGTTCACTCTTTTTGCACTGGAAGGGTAGGGGCCTCTGAAACTTGACATTCTGAATGGATGTCCGCGGTGGTGAGTCATCAATAACAGTCTCATCAACCAGCCATCAGCAAAACAAAGCGAGTCCACCTCATGCTGGTCACCACACCCACCTCGGCGAATAAGAACTTCATAGAACTTCCAAGAATATTGGATGACCCCCCATCTAGGATAGACCAGTGTCCCCAGTCAGTTGTACGGATGGGTCTGGTGGTGTTAAGGGAACAGGACCTGGCTGGCTGAATGCTAACAAAGTCTAATCTCCATCGTTGGACTTGCTGGGCGCGGTCATTCTCCCCCCAACAATCGTGCGGGAAGCCAAACAGATTCTCCTCCACACTGCACGTGTTGCATGATCATCACGCATCATCTGTTTCAAGGTCTGAGAGGGTTTTCAATTTCTGAGAGGTACAATTCTTTCATCGTCATATTCGGAAATACATACAGGATCATACAGGTTTCCCAAGGAAACCTGAAATCAAATCACTGAAGGTCAACCCGAAAGTCCCCACTCCAATCCCCCACATTCCTAAAAGATCCAAAAAAAATTTGAAGGGACCCCTATAGGGGAAAAATGAGCGGGACAATGGCAGGTCTTCCCACACGAAGAGCTCGGTGAAGCCTCGAAGGACGCCATGAAACGTTTGGTCGGTGAAGCCCTAAGAACGCCGAACGCAGGGTTTCTTGGAGTGCCAGTTGAGATGGTCTCCACTGGTGAACCACCTTTTTTAAGGCTGTCCGAGCTGTTTCATGTTCCCATCAAATCAGGAACGCAATGTCCCATCCCAAGCCAAATAAGTGGCCCAAAAAGTTGGATGGGGAACCCCATGTTCACCCTTCGCACGACCTCGACCGGTCCCCCGACGACTCATCGGTGCTCGTCCAACCGCGCCTGGTTGGGGAAGACGTTTGTTGGGCGAGGGTTTTGGTGTTCCATTTAGGGGAAATACTATGAACTGTATGCATCTGACATATGACATTTGTATTGCATTAGAGTAAAAAAGCAATCCAATCATCATTCCATGAACCTTGGCCAATCTAATCATCATTCCATGAACCTTGGCCAATGACTTGGAACCCCATGCATTCAAGCTGCACAAAAACGTAAGAAATGATGATGTATTGGGACGGTCGGGGGGTCTGTGTGGCCGCAAGTCGCACAAGTGGATACCAAAGTTTGTGAAGGATCAAATTGACCTGTCGGTGCGTCCTCATAGGCACCTCCGGGAGACCATACATCTCCAAAATCAAAACAGGATGGGTCTTCACAGTCAAACCTCCTCATTTATGTGTAGGGATGGTCATTACTTTGCAATCAAGGTCCTATTCAAAGTGGCTTGTCGGTTCTCGATAGCAGTGCAGTTCCCACAACCAAGTGTCTGGACCATGGCACACATAGAATGGACATGGTCCCTGCAAATACAGGTGTATCTCCAGCACTTGTTTTGTTTTTTTTAATTTCCCACTTTGCAGCCAGCTAATATTAGCTAATGTTTCATCAGGGCCACTGAGACATGATGGAGCCAGCAATTCCGAGGTGCCGACTTGACTTCAGCGAGCCTCCTCTGAAATCGGGGGCACTGAAATGCGCTCCAAAGCAGAAAAATCTGGTAGTGCGCCTCCACTTTTAAAATTCAAGTTCCCCTGCAATACTCAGTAGCTCCCCCAATACCTAAATCAATGAATTATATAAGGTCACTGATACTGCGATCTACTGAGAGCTCTCTCTACTGGATCCTTCGATTCAAGACAAGTTCCCAGTCTGTGGTCGCACCCATGAAAAAATCAGTGGTTCTTCTCCGGATCGCGTAAGGCTTCTCCCGCAAACCGGACAAGGCTCCGGACAAGCGGGCCACGGCTGAAGGAGCAGAAGCCAGGTACTGGCGTTATGTCACTTTTGGATATTTTTGGGGGTTTGCGGGTTTCTGTGCTAGGTTGGTCGGATCTAGAGCTGCAGTCTTACCTATGTCAGTTACGGCCCATATAGTGGGGCGAACCGTTTGAGGATGGCACGACACTCCGTCACAGCACCAAGCCTGATAGCAGCTGTATAGACCCCCAAAGTAGATAGAAAGGTAACTGTTCCTTTCCAAAATGTGTTGGAAAGCGGTTCTATCGATTTAGAGACTCCATGAGACCCCAAGGGCGATTGCTCATGGCCACCCATGGCCGCTCCGGACATCCGCACCAACCAGGTCTGTGCTCTTGAGACGTTTCGGGTCAGGTCGC